GTCCAGCAGGAACAGATCAGTCAGGAGCAGAAGTTTTACTGCAACAGATTCTCTCCTGTGTGACTTCTCATGTGCATGATCAAATAACCATACAGACTGAAGGCTTCACCACACGTTCCACAAGAATAGGGTTTCTCCTCAATGTGAGTCCTCATGTGAGCAGTCAAACTGTCAAGTTCTGAAAAACATTTTCTACATAATCCACATACATGGGGCTTCTCTACTATGTGGGTTCTCGTGTGAAGGATCAAACGATTCACATCACTGAAACTTTTTCCACATGTTACACACACATTGGTCTTCTTTCGTGTGTGGGTTTTCATGTGCTGGGTCAAAGTCTTCTTTGCAATGAAATTTTTTCCACAAGTTTTACAGGAAAACATATTACCTGTGTGGGTTCTCATGTGACACGTCAAATTGTGACTATATGAAAAACATTTTCCACATGTTCCACAAGAATAAGGCTTCTCACCTGTGTGGACTCTTGTGTGAGTGGTCAAATGATGACGATCCCTAAAACATTTACCACATGTTGCACAGGAAAAGGGTTTCTGTCCTGTATGGATTTTCATGTGAGACGTCAGAACAATCTGACTGGTAAAATTTTTTCCACATGTTCCACAAAAATAGGGCTTCTCACCTGTATGGGTTCTCACATGGACAGTCAATGAATTACGTTGAGCAAAACATTTCCCACAGGTTTCACAGGAATAAGGCTTCTCACCTGTGTGGGTTCTCATGTGTAATGTCAACGAACTATGATAAGTAAAACATTTCCCGCATGTTTCACAAGAATAAGGCTTCTCACCTGTGTGGGTTCTCATGTGTAATGTCAACGAACTATGATAAGTAAAACATTTCCCGCATGTTTCACAGGAATACGGTTTCTCACCTGTGTGAAGTGTAATATGTTGCTTTAAGATGAATTTTGATTTATAACTTTTGCCACAAAATGTACAAACATGTGGTTTTTCTCCTGTGCTAGTATTTTGATGGAGCCTAACATCACTTTCATTATCAAACCTTGTTCCACCAAAGTCACAAATAGTAGACTCTGTAGCAGACTCAGTCCTGGACTGTCTGTTGGACCCAGAAGATCTGACATCATTGTTGTTTTCTTTCTGATTTGGACTCTCAGTTCTAGGAGAGACATGAGAGAGGAGCTGCTGGCTCTTTGGTTCTGGGTCACTGTGGTCCCTGTCCTCACAAGTCTCCATGAAGGATTCAGTCTCCTGCTCCAGAACCAGCTGCTGACTGATGCTGAGGTCCTCCTGGTCCTCTTCCATCTGTGGAGGTTCTGTTTTCTCCTGGTCTTTAGTCTGAAGAGGTTCTGGCTCCTTGTCTTTATAGACTTGTTTCTGTTGGAGGTCTGGGATGACAAAGAACAGAAAATGTCACTAATGTGGTGATAAAACACATTTTAACCACAATAATCTAGTGTCAAATCAAACAAACTTAACTCATAAAATAATAAAACGATTTGGAAAGAATGAAAATAAAAACTATTTTAACAGATTGAAATAAAGACACTGTGGATATAATAAAATAGAAACTATTTCAACATTCTGTCCACATTACTTTTATTTTTTCATTCTGTCCACAGCATCTTTCGTTCGTTTGAATCCATTGAAATAGTTTCTATTGACCTGTTTCTATTATTTTCCTATATCAACAGATAGAAACTATTTCAACAGACTAAAATAAAGACTGTGGTTTATCTTGTAGTTCAGACTAAAGGCCTCTGCATGCTCCATCTGAACTGAACATCACCTCTCATTGTCAAAGTTTCATGATGAAAATGACATCATTCTGTTGGCAGCTTTCAGGCTCCGCCCCTTCTTATCCCAACCTGCCAGGAGAATGTTTGACCCCTCCCCCTCCCCATCAGAACTGACTGTGATTGGTCATAAATGTGTAGGCGTGTGTGTTTGTGCTGAAAGGTGTGAATGAAAACAAACTCCCAACAACCACATGAGTGCACCCCACTGTTCAGCTTCAGATGGAGCAGGTGGAGGTCTTCACAAGTCCAGATCTCAGAGTCAGGGTTCTGGTTCCTGAGGCCTCACTACAAACTGGTTGTGTTCCAGCTCGTACCCATTCTGTCCAACTTGATTACAGGCATCCTGATGGTCTTCAGGCGTCTGAGCTGATGGTCCAGCTGCTCCCCATTCAGAGTGGTCCTGATAGAAAAGATTCCAGTTTCTAGATCCAGAACCAGCTGCTGACTGATGTTCTCCTGCTCCTCTTTCATCTGAGGAGGTTCTGGTTCCTCTTCTTTAATCTGAGGAGGTTCTGGTTCCTCTTCTTTAATCTGAGGAGGTTTTGGTTCCTCCTCTTTCATCTGAGGAGGTTCTGGTTCCTCTTCTTTAATCTGAGGAGGTTCTGATTCCTCCTCTTTAACGTGAGGAGGTTCTGGTTCCTCCTCTTTAACGTGAGGAGGTTCTGGTTCCTCCTCTTTAACGTGAGGAGGTTCTGGTTCTTCCTCTTTAAAGTCAGGAGGTTCTGGTTCTTCCTCTTTAAAGTCAGGAGGTTCTGTTTCCTCCTCTTTAATCTGATGAGGTTCTGGTTCCTCCTCTTTA